AACATTTCAAGATCTGCTGGTTTGGGCTGTCCTCAGCAGTCACCTTTCTTTGCCACCCTCCCCGAGACTTAAACTCACGTCATCCCTATCAAACTAGTGACTACAAGCTTCATGAAGCTCCTGTGACAAGACAGAATGTTTCTCTTTACAAATACCTCAAAACAGGAGAAGGTGGCTGCACTTAAAATATGAAGATCTATCGAGAAATCAAGCTGAGATACAGCTTAGTGTACGTGGTTCTTCTGGATGTCCAACTTAAAAGCACATCAGAAGACTCTGCTCTCATAAAGCATCCACTGCGTTAGTGCCTTGTCTATTAGAACACGTGTCAGTGACCACTTTTGCCGTTTTTTTAATCTTCTGTATGTGTTATAATACACTACCCTTGGCTACATCTTCTCCCTCCCCCAAATATTGGCTTTTTGGCAACAGGTGTGGAAGCGTAATTGTGATTGCCCTATCACTGAGCCTGGAGAAAGCCCTAGAGAGAGGGTTGCTCTACTAATGTTCAGCTTCCAAAGCAGGTAAAATTAAAAAAGGAAGCTAATCTACACTTCACCCTAAAACCTTCTACCTCAGGAATGAAAAACCTTCGCTGAGGAAGTGCCCCAAAGGAGGCACAGAACAGCGTGGCGGTCACTTGAACCCGACTGAGCAATTGAGTAAGGTAACTGGTTTTTATGCTTTTCAGTCTTCCCCCTCCAAAACCTCCTTAACAGCTCCAGGCATTACTTCTTCATTCCCATTCCCTGAGGAAACACCGAACACGAGAGGACCGGCTCACCTGTTACTACTTTGGAAGCTGTTTGCGTGGGATTTGCGATGACGCCATCTCCCGCCGGCTGTGAAGGCGGATGAGGCGGAGGGGGGACGCTAGGTCGGTTCCTGGGTTTCGGTACCGGCCGTGGCCGCGGCAGCGTGCCGGTACCCTGAGGTGGAGGAGAGCTTTCCTGAGCCGACGGCGGCGGCTGTGACGACGGGGAACTAGTAGTATGTTTTGCTAGAGGGGGTGTATCGGGTGGTGTGGGAGTCTGCGGAGGAGTGTAACAGGGCTGCTCGGGTCCGTGCTCGCCGCCGGGCGCAGGAGGAGCTGCTTGGCTGCTGGATTTGGGCTGCGGAGGAGGAGTAGCCTGGGTTGGGGGCTGCGGGGGCGGATGGCTGGGAGCTTGTATCGGGGACAGACTGCTGGAGTATCTCCGAGGTGCAGAAACCTGGGAAGCGGAGGTCTGGGCCGCTCCTTGGTTTGCATGTTGAGCAGGAGGAGAAGAACTTCTAGTGGGGGGTTTTGGAGAGACGGAGGGCGGCTGAGGAGCTGGGGCACAACTCTGGCCTCCCGGCTGCCCCGGCGGGGGGGGGGAGGGGCCGGCGCAGGCTTCTTCACGGCTGGTAAAGAGAAGAGGGGAGATTTCACGATTGTACGTTGTGAAACCAAACTCCTGAAAGAAAGAAGCGAGTAGCGTCGAAGAATACTCAGGTAAGTTAGCGAAATAAAACAGTGTATTATCAATTAAAAATCACTATCAATGAGAAGCTACAGAAACGCCTACACAGGTTTCCTAGTCCTTACGTAGCCTTGGAGCGGTTTTGTTAAACAGCACCGGGAACATCGCTACCAGCACTCATGAGAGAGTCCAAAAGTCCACAGAAGCATTTAGCTACATCTTAGTGAAAAGCAAGCGAATTAAACCCTCATCTGCAATAAAGGAAGAGGTACTGATAAAGGTGTTTTAGTAATAAGTGTTTTTTCAGTACACAAAGAACTGGCACTTAGCGGCTTTTAAAACAAATGACAAACAAACCTCTCCTCATGGAATGGGGACTGGGACCTGCCGCATTCTGGGGCTGATTAACAGCAAGCTGATTAGCGCTACTTGATGACTGGTTCTGCGCAGTGCCCGCGTGCCCACCGTTTCTCACAGGTGGAGGAGTAGCCGAAGACGTGTTGTCCTTAGATTTTGAGGTGCTGAAAAATAAAAATCCTAAGTTAGAAAATGATTGCAAACTGCTTCTGCCCAGATCAGCCGCACCCGCTCAGGTTTACATCATGACCTGTGCTACAGTTCTGACCCTCAAACGCTTCCGAAAAACTTCTGCCCTGATTGGTATTTGCTGACAGACCGAGCAGTGCTGTAACTCCTCAAACAAGTGGCAAATAGGCTTTAGGCAAGCCTGTACAAGGGATTAACTACCAAATTTAAATCAGGAATCCAAGCAGTTCTGCAGTGTCACGGCACCTGCCTGAACACGGTCCTGCTACCAAGGACACAGTTTCCATGCTAACGCACCTCACTGCAATTGCAGATCCTTTAAAAACTGACTCCCAATGCTTCAATATTTCAGTATTTGCAGTCTTCACTCATTTCTCTAGCTTTACAGCCTCCTGCAGCATCCTATCATCTCAAAAGGACACGCTGCCATCCTAATTCCTCCAGATGCTGTTAATAAGTTGCAAGTACTTGAAGGCAGAATTCGCGTGGGTTTTAAATGCAGTGTTTAGACACCGCTCTCACAGTTCCATTTTAGCTGCCTGTGCTACAGAAGACATCTGTGGAGGAAATACTAGTCTGCCGGGGATTTCCAAATGAGAAGTTGTTCTCGTAAAAATGTCACCTGAAAACAAGAGCTATGTGCAAAGTGGTCAACGCTGCATGAAACTCCACGCTGGTGCGTCACCGTAAGACACAAGAGGTTGATGTCTGGAGAGCACTACAGGCTTTTAGAGGGGATTTCTTGTATCTCTCAAAACGTAGAAATATTGAAAGTGCTGCTTTCACCACACACGGAAGAGTCAAGGCTACCACAGTCAGACTGGGAGTTCACGTATACTAATACTGGGGACACGGCTGCAGAGAGTTTCAACAGTAACTAAGCAGCAAAAAATCCTGTATATATGCTCATCCTAAAGAAATTAATTTTGGAATATGATAAATCGACTTCCAGTTTTCTAGCAAGCAAGGCTGGGCACTGCTAACACTCGCTACAGACACATAAAAAAGACAAATCCAGGTAACATGTACGAGTAACATTAAACAAGACCAACAGGTTTCTACTGTTGCCACTGGTAGGTTTTGTTCTTTCAGCAGCAAACTGGTAAGTCACACTGTGCGAACACCTCTAGAGCGTAACTTGGGAAAGCCCACATGGGTAGCAGGACAGTTTGTTTTAGTATTTTTCGTTGTCCCACCCTCCTCCCCCAAGAAATCTCTTATTTTAGAGTATCAATTCTGGAACACAGAGCACGATGCACGTTATTTTAGACAATCAATTCTGGAGCAACATGTGGGGCAAGAGAGCTCCTGCCTCCTGCTGCCACCGCGCCTGGAAAGGCTTCGCGCCAGGTATCGTGCATCCAGCCCGAAGAGGTGCTCGGGAAGCAGACCCAGCTGACGCACCCGTTTGCTGCTGAAGCAGCCTGCTAAGCCGCTGCCAGCAGAAGCCGTGCCTCTTACCTGCCATCCTCATTTCCTTGACTTTGCAACTGTTCTGCTGTGCCAGCAGAGAGAGCAAAACCAGCACCCACCGGGCTTGTTTCAGCCCCAGAAGCTTGGGAGTGCTGCTCCGCCCCGGACTGAGCCAGCGCGCCAGCCTCCGTGGGTGGAAGTGGTGGCTGGAAAGCCGGGGATGTGTGCTTTCTATTTATAGTGCCACACCTCCGAGGGTTCGCTTGGAAGTCCATAACCTTCACACCAAAGCTACAGAAAGAAGAGAGAGTAAACACACCACGCCAGCCCACACCAGGTCACTAAAGCAACAGGACAACTGGATGTTATAACCCACAGAGACAAACGCAACCCCTGCTGCTCGGCATGCAAAGCAGCAACACGGAAAGCTCCCACTTTCTGCATTTAACACCATTAATGTTAAGACATGCAACGCTGTTTGGCTGCTCCACACAGAGGGGTAAAGCTAAACGTAAGTGGGACAAACTACTCCATTACGTTTGAAGACAGACATTGGTGACAATGAGGTCAAACCACTCAGTCATTTTACACGTAAATACATGTATTTCCCGACATACCAGAGGATGTCCTCACTGAATATGTTTTGCCACATGAATTTTGTTTCTGTCACTCATTAAGTTCAGCACAGATCTCAAGACAGACAAAAAAACCCCACTGGATATATGCCATGATCTCGGTTTAAAGGAGAACTATGGACAAATGGACTAAAATGCTAAGATTTCAGAATGCATACAGCACATTCATTCCAGAATTTAATTTTATCTTGTATTAAAGACAGTGAATCCTGAGCTGCTTTTCTCGTCTCTCTGTCAGCGCTGATAAACTTGCATGTGGCTAGCCATAGTTAACATTCAGGTAACAATTTAACATTCGCATAACCAGCTAAAACAAAACGGCACATCACTTGAATACTCATGACATGAGTGATAATAAATGAACGTTACACTACATGTTATATGGGAAAACAGCACATTTTATTTTTATTTCTTAGCGTTCTACTGTTTGCTGTGGTATACTGTACCATCATCAACTCAGAAGTCTTATCATGAAGGCACCAGGTAACACCACCTCAGCTTATGGGCTTTGAAAAAGAAGCCATGGAATATCAGAAGTTAGATACTGGTAGAAGCTACTACACACACTTTGGTTTCAGCGGATTTTAGACACCCCCCAAATCTGTAACAGGAAAACGGTAACTGGAAGCAGTAATTATCTGCTTGGGTTTTATCATGCATAGAGTATAACTGGAAGCAAATACCAGTACGTTACCTTTGAACCTTCCTCAGGCTGCAACAACACAGGGGGAAATAAATCACTACTGTTACCTAGAGTATTTTAATGAAATTCTCCTCCTGAGACCAAGGAAAGTGTGTCTGATTACAGCCTCCTCAGCAATCCGGTTCTCAGGAGCGGGCTAATGACTGAAACCCAACCCGAGAGTGAAACCTACCTTTCCTTCTTCAACAAATCCCCTTCCATCGCAGTCATGCTGACAGGCCTCTTCCGCTCCAGTGTGCCTGACTCGTATTCGTTCCCAGTGTGTGACAAGTGATTGGAATTAACAGCAGGAACGGCCACAAATGCCCCGGACACATTGAAATCCTGATCTGAGAGAGACAGACAGGAACGCATCCTGAGACACACAGATGCAAACCGGTGCCTCACTGCAAAAAGCTGCTGGAGGTTTACCTGTGTAGGGTTACTGCAAACACAAAACTCATTTAACTATGGCAAGAATTTACCTCCAGGGAAGAACCAGTCTGCATGCTGAATAATTGGCTCAATAACTGCTACCACATGGACTGAAGTCGCTGCTGCCATTTCAGCAAGGGATCTGCAGAAGACATTTGCAGAACACTTTATACAGAGCTCTATCAGAAAGATAGAAAATTAAGAAAAAAATCGTATTACCTAGATGACAAATTACACTAAGCATGATGCATCAGGACTCACAGCACCACATAAAGAGCAGCTTCACACTTGGATGAAATCTAGACTATTTAGTAACATCTGCAGCATTTGAAAACAGACCGAAAAAGATGCGTGCCTAAAGGAATTTGGAGGCACAGGTCCCAAGACATCTGAAATATTTTTTAGGCAAATAGTCCGTTGCTGTGAATAGTCAATACAATTTAAAACAATCAGACAAGCTTCATGGCAGTTCTGTTTTGCAGCTTTCCTAAAACAACTTACCCTTCATTCTTTGCCCATAGCAAGTTGGGGCCCAAGACTATCGCGACATTGCTGGGAGTCATTTTGTTAACATCGCTGTTCTGTGCAAGCTTTGCTAAAAATTTGATTAAATACCTACAGAAAGGGAAGAGAAAATTAAAACAGGAGGAAATCAGAGCATTTCTTATTGAAAGCAACTCAGTAAAGGGTTCTGTGTATCACCATTTCATTAAAGTCACTAGGGAATTAACTTGACTGAAAAACGTCTACCACCACCAATGCACACCAACTACCTGGTAAAACAGAATGTCCTTTTATAAACCTAACTGAATTTGGCTAAGAGAAAAAACCAAATTCATCAGAGTTTTGATCAATCAGCTTTGAAATGAGGCATCCCAGCAGCTCTGCTGCAGTTACGTACCTGAAGTTAGCATGATAATGCTTAGGTAATCTATTACAAATTCTCCACAACTCTTGTAGCTTCTTATCCTGGTCCTGAATACTGAAAGGAAAACAAACAAACAACTTTCTTTTACATCTTCCTTTCAGATCAGAAAATGCTTGTTTGTGCAGCGAACACAGATGACACTACAACTTTCCACTTATGTCGCAGAAACACACTGTTTTGTATGAATTCAGTAACCTGCTACGCAAATCCCTGAATTACCTCTATCTGTGATGAAAGAAAACTGCTTAAGTATCAATACTATGCAGCCAATAGTCTGAAGCAGCCCTTAGGCTTAAACACAAAATAGGTACTTCATCACATTTTTGCACAATTACTATTAAGCTAAACCACAAAATCTAAAATAATTTGTTACACAAAATGTTTACCTGTTAGGGCAGAGAGAAAGTAAGCTGTGTAAGCTTGGTCTTGTCTTTTGAGTTCACACATGAAGATGAACATTTGATAAATATACATATAATGTTTTCCTACGTATCTATTTTTAGCATGCTTACTTTGCAGCTTGTGTCCACTCTTCATAGAGACTGTAGGTCATTAAAGGTTCTGGCAACTCTCGCAGATAGGATTTCAAGGCACCTGCAACGCAGAGCAGAAACAGGCCAGCTTCTTTGTCAGTGCTTTCAGTCTTCATTTAAAATTCTGCCCCCAGATTTGTAATTTCATCTGTGCAGCAGGACCTAACCAACACTTAATGCAAAAGGTCTTCCAGTAATTACTGTAGTGTGACAGAAATATGTCCTGTAAGACTATGAATAATCTCTTCAGAACAAAGACCTTATTAAGAGTCTACATACGGCTCTAATCTCCCTTGATATGTAAACACTTTTGTCATGAGAGGAAAGGTAATATTTAGATTACTGTGATCACCTGAATTTTAAACACTGCTCTGTCAGGCAGACATGAAGAGCTCAGGTGTGATGAGCATGCACACCCCCTACTCATCTGCCTGAAGCTCTGCAGTGAACTTCCAATTTATTTTCACTCATAGTTTACCTGCAGAGATCAGCACCTTACACTGCAGCACACCAGCAGCTGAACGAACAGCAAGAACCTCTGCCGTACCAATTCATACCTGGTTTGGATTCAGAACAGTCACAATACCTGCAACAGCGTGGGGATCGGAATAAAACTCGTCGAGCTGGGAAGTTGAGCAGTCCAAGGCAGCTTTCAGCTTTTTTAACTTGGAGGCTCCGGCAGCAATTCTGAATAAGCCCTGCATAATAAAAATCAAATGTACTTGACTGGGAGCAACATGTTAGTGCAAGCACGAAACAGCAGAAGTTTTATGACAGCCTCTTTCAGAATAGTCTCGTGTTTGGCGTCTTCTCCTTATTCTGTTATGACCCAGCTGGCCCTTAACGTGTCGCTGCCGTCTGACAACGTTTTAGTTCCCTCTCGCCCTTGCCCATTGCTAGTTTTACATTCTAGGTGCATTCACCTCTAATACTCCAAATAGTGCTAAAGGTTATTCTCTTGCCAAAGATTTATCATCTACGCTAACGAACAAAATCACTTCAGCAACTTAAGAGGCAGAGACACCAGTCCACGAGTTTGAGCTCTTTTTTCCTGTCCTCCCCAGCAGGCGATGCGGCATTACCTACCTCCTCTCTCATTCCCGTTTCCAGAAGCATCATCACACAGGCTTCTATAGGGACTGCGATTTCACGACCACTGCGCTTGAGATGCTCTTCTAATGGAGTTCCAAAAGCTGGTTTTTCAGTCCATTTGTCTAGTTGGAGAGTATCAACACACTGAGCAAAGTATCTAACAAACACTTGAATTATGTCCCAGCCAAGAAAAGAAGAAAGCCACCAGTACAGCAAAGAAATTTTGAGAATACAGGAGGAGTTTTACAGCCCTTGATTGGTAAAGTCCCTTATATCATAAGCAAAGAGAAAATGATCCTGCTGGTGTGCAAGAAAAAAAATACTCCTGCATCTTTCTGGATGGAATATCAGAGACAAGTCCTTTGTATAACTGGGAGCGCATGTCCCACTAGGGCTCCACACAAGTGCCACCGCATGACCCCAAGTCACACTAATTCTGATTTGTCTAAGCTAAAAGGCTTACGTTTGCAGTAACACCTTTGAAAAAAATTTGTCCAGACTGCATGACGGGGGCTGAACTTCATTTTAATTGTATTCAAGTTGCATAAACCCAAAACTTTTAACACAAAATGTATTGCTGATTTAAAGAACCAACAAGTTAAAATGGATGTTAATAGTCACAATGTCTTACATCAGAATTACCATGTTAACAGCCCACCCCTAATACTGGCATGAATTTTCAGTTCAATTTTTCAAGGGTTGCTTAACTCTGAAAGTCAAAACTGGCACAACTCTCTTCAAATTAAATGTGAATTTCTTGCTTCCTACAACTTATTTTTTCACCCATTTCTGCTGCTTTAATTGAAAAACGCAGATGTAAAAGGTTACTGTTGGTACAGATGCGTTATTCCTTTCATGTGGAAAGAAGGTCAAGAAAGACAAAGACTTTCAGAGTCCTCTGAAGACACAATGTGTTTCTGCAAAGGATTTAATTTACCCTTTTTGTTTACAAACCCACACCAACTGGATCCCTCGGAAAGATTTAGCGCCTCTCATCCATTAACACACCGCAAGAGGCACACGTTTGCCCCAGTTTTGCAAGTTACGGCAAACATTAGGAAAAGAAATCTCAGTCGTTGCTCCAAGTGACAGCAACTTGCACAACAGCTGAGAAACACAACTGCAGCCGGCACTGCCCTTGGACACGGGACCACTGGGACCTCCCGCCTGCCGGCCCACCTTCCAGGAAGGCGGAGCTGCTCTGAAAAGTTCATACAAAGCAGCTAAGCAACAACGACAAAAAAAATAAATTAAGGCAGCCCTGATGCATCATCTGTTTGCCTTGCCTCATCCCCCCTCAGAGCCACAGAGTACAGATACTCAGAGAATCCTTTGGGTTGGAAAAGACCTTTAAGATCATCAAATCCAACTGTTAACCCAACACTGCCACCACCAACCACGTCCCTGACCGCACACCATCTCGCGGCAAGACACATCCCTTTAAATGGTTCATCTTTCACAACAGGCAGGGGGTCCACAGCTGGAGACGCTTGAGCCTTGTTCAGCTCCGAACATATTTTTCTCCAGCTTTGCTCAGCCTACCTCTTGTTCAAAGCAATTAGCAGGGCAAGAGACAGTATAGTCGGTATTTAGCACATCTTCCTAACAAACCATTAACGACAGACCTCAGCTCCCGTTGACAATGGAAAGCTGAGTAGCACAGGGTCAGAACGAAGCTGTATTACTCATTTTTCTCAACTGCTGATATTCCATACAATAATCTGAATGCTCCACGAGCCGGCTGCAGTGCATGTGCACGCTGGGAGAAAGGATTGCATAAGAGAAGAAAAAATCCACCAAGTTCCTCAGAATAAGGGGGATTTTTCTGATCATCTAGTAATAGTACAAGAAGCAAGGACCCTAAAAAGTTGCTAAATCACAACGGAACTTTCACTGGCCTAAAGAGCCAGGCACGAATTAGCAAAGGTCACATGATATCAAGGAAGAAGTGCAAGCAAATAGAAAAACCCTTGCTTTAGTCTCTTGGTTATCAGACCGAGCCTTAATATTGCATTAGTGTGTTAAGATATGGCTGGAGAACTCCAGAGAACACAAAGATGGAATTATGCTTGGGAATGTAAGATTGTTAAGTAGATCAAAATGGCCTTATTAAAAAAGTCTGCATGCAAGAGAATCAAGATAAAGGAGGAGAATATTGTGCATAGGTGGCACAGGCAAGGAGAAGCATCAGCCAGAGCACAGGTTACTTTACCTTGATGGGCTTGAATTTCGGGTAGGACCTTTTCTATGACTGCTAATGCTTTTCTATGGTAATCTGCTTGTGCTTCTAATAACTGAGAACAGAAGCCACATTTTAAAAACAAAAAGAGCATTAGCTTCTGATGAGCACATAATACAAGACTAGAAGGTTTAGCACACAAAACGTAATCTCTGAGAATTGAGTGCCTACGCACATACGTGCTGCAATCAAAGTCACACTGAAGAAGTACTCACCATAATAAAACACCTCGCGTACTCCCCTTCTTTGGACACAAAGTTATACATGTCTGCTGCTAGTTGATCCTTTGGAAAAGAAAAGAATGCAAAACGCTACATCAGCTTTATGTATAAATTGAATTTCCCCTGTAAAGGCAGAAGCACAGATGTTTATTTTGCCTGTAGTAAGTTTGAACTATTGATTCAGGCAGTAGAGGAAGCCGGTAAAATCCATCTACTCTGCTCCATGTGTCCTTCCAAGCAAATTTCATTCAAAATGCCCAATTCTGTTTTATATGGCAAAGCAGTTGCCTGCGTAAGTCGACAATTAGATCATCTGGCAACGTTATTTACAGGCAAACCCTGTGTACGAAGGCAGGCTCAACTGCAGCGTAACACAGTATTTGACAATTGTGAAGTGAAACTGAACGTGAACTGCTCAGAGCCCCAGGAGTCAGAACATTCCTTCTGTGTCTGCAGCTTGAAGTTCATTCAGGTAGCTCACACTGCACAGCTACTCCGTGGCCTGAAGCACACGGATACCCTGAACATTTCGGTCAGGGCCTAGACACAGCTCATTCTCACAGTTGTCTCTGATTGAAACAGAAAATACTGTAAAATCGCCATCTTTTAAAAAAAAATAGTTCCTTATTAAATCAAAGCACTTCAAAGTGAGATAAGCCAGCATCACTGTACCTCTAACACATACAGTTCGTTAGCAGCCACATAATTCACAACGGCAGTAATCAGTCAGTTCCACCTGCAAGGCTCACCCAAGCAGCCGTACTCTAACGGTGACTGTCGCACTGAAAGGACAGACACTCATCCTGTCATACCTTGCACTGTTCCACTTTGTTTCCAGCTTCGTCCATCTCTTCCTTAAGAGACTCTATTTTTGAAGGATGCACTTGAAAATTTGTTCCGGAAGTCTTGTGGGCTTGGTTATACCTGTGGAAGAAAGGTTTCAGTCATTTGGTGAAAAACAGTATTAGACCAGAATCTGCCATCAGTGGTTCCCTTGAAACTGGTTTCTTTTGACAGGAAACAAACCCAACAGTTTCAGAGGTTTTCCAACAGAACTACGGAAGATGTTCAAAACACACCATTTATGAGATGCTGGCATGATTCACATATAGCAGAAGATGAATTTTCAGCATTTTTCTAATTATATATATATAGGCACGTAAGAGCCCCAAGATCTTGATTCTGTTTGGATCTAGCAGTCACCAGTCTTTTTCTGAGCAACTTACATTTAAGTTTGTCTTTCTTCAGCAAAGTATTAAAGTACACACAGTAGCATTTCTGAAGCAAGTACCAGCATCAGATCAGACGCCACGAGATGCTAACGAGAAGTTAACATGAACGGACCGAGCAATTAAAATTCTTACCTTCCTCTCGCAGAATCCCAGTCCAACACCAGCTTTGCAAGCTGTTTCCTCTGCTTCTGAATGTTTGGGATCTCGGTCTAAAATGAGAATTCAAGGCTTACACTTATTTTTAAACCATGTATTGTAATAACCTACATTCTGTAGATTTCACATCTACTTTACCAATGCACAACTTTTATTAACGAGATTAAAGCCTTTTTTCCTCAGTTTATACCTAAATCCAGATTTGTTTCTTCAGCCAGGCTGAAGTGACTTACCTCTGTCAGTAGATACAGTGGATCTAAGACTTCTCTTTCGATCTGTACTTCATGCTGAGAGAGCTCCATTGCCAGTTTATTCTCTGCATCGCCACATGTATCGAGCATTTTCCTTTAAGAATCACAGCAAGTTGCAATGTGAGTTACTACTGACTGAAGAAGAAAGTTTCAAAACGAGGCAGTGGCGGCCCTTTGCTGCCTGCCACCCTTTAGGAAAGCTGGGTGGGGTATAAAGCGAGGCCTTGATGGCATAAAACCAAGATGCTCTATGTTGTTATGGGCAAATTTGGGCTAGGAAAGAGTGAGGGTGGTTATCCCATTGTCTTCCAAAATTCCTCAGCCATTACAACATTTTTGGTGGCTTTAAGCCATCTAGGTGATTACACTGGCCCTAAGGGCAGAAAAGTTAGTATTTATTTCAAAGCCCATCCCTCCATCTCACCAGATGCAGGAAAATTGCTCATTGCAGTATTTAATTTTCTCCTAAGCCCCTTTAATGTGAAAAGTCTTAACACCATAATGCTAAGCAATCACATACGCAGCAGTCTCCAGTTCCAAACCCACGGTTTGGCCTTTGTTTTAAGCATATTCTAAGGAAAAACCTCGTTCTCAAAGATTTTTATCCATGTTTAAACCTCCTGCAACAGCTCACAAAAATGCACAGAAAGGTTTTTAAGGTCATTCTGCACTGTCTCTGCTAGAATTCCCACGAGCAATGAGGAAGCACATTTGCTCTAGGAATTCAGTACATTGACACTCATTTGTTTCAGCCACTTTCCTGTCAGCTGCAAACGTGCACTTTGTCAGGATAAGGAAACTGGCATTAGTTTAAACTTGAAGCCATTAACACAAATTGGCATTATTTTAGGTCAATAACACAAACAAGCAGAATGCAGTATTCACACGAAAATTTAACCTTTAGCTGGTGAAAATAATTCTACTAAGCCACAAGGATAAAAGCCCTTTCAAAGGCTTTTAAGGTAGCAGAGAATCAGAATGCTCTGGAAGGCAAGCTAGAGCAAGCCTAAAGGTTGCCCCCAAAATCCCGCAAGAAGAAATGCTTGCTCAGTTTTTCTCCCTTTGGATTAGAGAAGGAATAGAGAAATATCAGTTTCACCAGTTAAAAACCAGCCTTTGTGTCTCTACATAGAGCCCTGCGGGCAATAAAATGACAGGCTGCAACTTCTAAAGCCAAACACTTACCCCAACAGAGTTTCATCGCTCAGCTGGACAGACCCTTCCTGCATGTTCTGAGCAAGAGCTGTTAGAGGAAGTTTTTTCTGCGGAACAGAAGGAAGAGTGCTTAGCTTAGCGCTTATTCACCCCGGCCGGCTTTCCCACTACATCCTCTCTCAGATTCTTCTCTTCTTCCACACAGTTTCTATTACACACATACGCAGCACATTCTTTGACTTGAAGAAAACATCAAGTCACAGAAAGTTTCAAGTCTCAAGACTCCCGTTCTCTGACACTTTGGAAAGCACTTTTTTCCCAGTCTTAGCTGGAATGACTCGCACAAAATGTATCTCAGCTACTGTCAGAGACAAACAAACAGCTTTAACTCGAGATCTAAGCAACGCGCTTGTCGTCTCTCTCTGCAAAGGCTCGCTCTGTGTGGCTCTTTCCAGGCAGCCTCTATTATTCAATAAAAGAAGAAAACCTGAACATTAATTATTTCTGGTTCTATTGCTTTTATGAAAACCCACCAATAGCTTTGCTGAAAGGAGGCAGAAATCAAACACGTACAGAAAAACATTTACAGGTAATTGGAGATGTCAGCCCCCAAAGGCAATTCTAAACGTACGGAGCTTGATCGGAGTTGCAGAGTTCTCCTGTCAGTCAGGTTTCACAAAAGCCGTAAGTACTCGACACGCTGCAGAAACGGGCGAGTGTCTGACACTCAAATACTCCAAGGCTGTGTGGTTTTATTCGGTGGGGAGCTACAACTAGCATTTTACCAAATAACGTCAATGTGCGAGATGCTTTTACAGACTTTGCCTTCCCTGGGATCCCGTGAGGCACAGCAGCTGACGACTATTTCGAAGGTCAGACTGCGTCCCGACCAGCCTCGCAAGACAATCCAAAGAGCAGTTGTACTTACATGCCTCTTGTCAGGATCTGTACCATGCTGGCCCTGAAAACACGCGATTAATCGCTTCTGTGCAATGTGGCAAACAGATCTCACAGTGTCAAGACGTCTCTCAATCTAGTTGGCAGGAGGGGGAAGAGAGGAGGAAAACAAAACAAAAAACAGAAGTTATTTTGCCGGCCTCAGCAGAAAATCTTCCTCCTGTACCACGCTTAGCTCTGGGTTGCATATTTCTCAAGCTGTACAGCTTACAAGAAGTTCAGACGCTTCGCAGAAGTGCCTGACAGCAAAAATGCTCAGAAAGAGACTTAAATTGCCCTTTTTTTTTTACTCAGTGGCACAGCAATTCAGTTCGAGCTCACAGTGCTCACAAGACTGGAGAGTGGAAGTGGAAGAAAGACACTGCTCCTACTTTTTGTCTCAGCAAAGGAGAACCAGGTTGATACTTGCTGTCTCAGGGGAATGGCACATGCAGATATCCAAGTCACTAACTGAGAGTTAAAACTGTGGGAAAACTCTCCTATTTTTTCACTGTGACCATGTAAAGTATAAGGCAAAAGATGTATCTGACCACTTCTTTGCACTGAGCCAAACCTACGTACTGCAAGCTTTCTATTCCATCTCCTTCTCTGGTCATCAAACACAAGGACAAAGTTCCTACATGCTAAGAAAAATAATATTTTCAGAGAGAGATTATTAGTGGGATTCAAAAGGGATGTGGCATGAAAAAATCATCATCAATGCACAAGCAGGAGTTCTGCTTAAGACAGTATATTTGAAACATGGCTTAATACCTAGAGTGTGAATATGACAAAGATGTATATTAATGAACTGCTCTGTTAGGGATTTTCAGTAAGGAATGTGGACTATTATTTCAAAGAACACCAAAAGCAAACAAAGCGATGAGCTCTCTATGCACAGCAGCAAAAGAATGCAGTTTATCTGCATTTTGATGACTCACCAAGAATAAAAGGCAGCCCTTTGGAATGGCTTCTATTTAAAGGGCAAGGAAAAAAGGAGATTTCATCTGTAGAAATAATCTGAACAGACTCCAGGTTTTGATACAGCTCTAAAAATCACTCCTATTAGATTTTCAGGAGGGCAGTAACTCTCCTCAGCTTTCCTATCAATCATAAATACAGAGATGAGCTGACAGAGTAGTAATTTTAGCGCTAAGCAATTACGCCCTGTGTCAGGTCCTGCTAAGGGCACCGTGCCTGGGCTTAAAGCAGGAGAGATACCGCTGGATTTCCCAGAGGAGGCAGTCTGCTGCATTCTAAGGGCAACAAAACATCTTGAATGTTACACATCCAGGTGAGAATGACGCGGCTTTTCCTCCCAACAGGTCTATTCGGCACTGCTACGATGGAGTAAGTATATCCCTGAAGTGGAAGGATGCAGTTAGATCGCTGCCATTGTGAGGCCAGGGGGAACCAGGACGGGAGGGCTGGGGAGCTGAAGGATCCGGGCAGGAGGGCTGATGTTTCACTGGCGACATGAGACACTGAGGGGACTACAAGCTCTTGACAACCACAAGATGAGTACAAGTCAAGGTGCCCAAAAAGCTTAGTAAAAATGTATTACGGTTCAATCGGGTGCAGAGAAACTGCCCAAGGACCGTTCCGTAAGCACGAGGCATTCCCTTTTATTTACAGAGCATCGACTAGCTCAAAATTCAGCCCACTTCAAAAAGTCCCTATGAAGATACTGGAACAAGAAGGTACTGTTTGCTCTCTGCTGGTGCAGCTGACTAATTTCTGTTATCTTCAGAATTAACTACCACCACCACATGCTAAACAATCCATTATGTGTGAAAGCATTTACATTGGCTTGGTCACACAGGTAACACTCCTTAAAATACTGAGCACAGCTGTGATTTTTTTTAATTCCCACACCTGAAACACGGTGACATCCTGTAACTAAACCACATTCCAGATCCCAGCAGACTCACACAGCCCCTGTCAGCCATGCATGGAGGCTGAGGTTCCTCAGAGAGACTCAGGAGCACGTACAGTCCCCTCAGCCTCTTCCCAGGCAGCCCGAATGGCAGAACACTGACAGCAGGAACGCGACCCCAGAGCTTCACGATAATATACTCTCCTCTCTGATCTGCTTTCAGTTCAGAGATGTCAAGAAAGCCATGAAGGGCATTAATCTCCATTAAGCTACCTTTGAACTGAAAATGTGACCTACAGGCCACGCTGTCTGCACCCACAGGGCATCTTCAGTGCACAAAACACGGCTTTATTATACACAAGGGCATGCCAGAAAGCGGGTCTATTGTAGAAGCCTTTCCAGTACTGAATTATATTCCTTGTCTTCAGACAGGAACACATTTAACGGAGATACTTTAAATGGAGGATTCCACTTTAGAAAACAGAAAAAAAAGAGCTATGGCAATCCTATGGCAAAGTTTCAGCTAAATATAAAAAAGGAACACTGTGAAACATGTTTATAAAGCGAACAGTACCACGGTTTTTAAGCTCTTGAGTTAGATAAGAGCCTCCCTCCCCTCCACAAGCCCCCAAGAGCAAACAAACAAGTGAGTAAATTCTTCCACTTGGGTGTAGCCAGTCTGCTCTGCGCCTGGGAAAGCCTTGCTTGCAAAATTTTCTTGGCAACAGGCAGCAGTACTTTTGGCCTTCACTTCTGGTTACTATTCTGCAGCTAACCAAGAAAACAGATGAGCCCTTGCAGGCTATCCAGGTGTTGTAACATCCTTTACGCCATTTAATTGTACATATATCCCTTCAGAAATCAAAAAGAGGATTGTCAAACTGTTAAGGTGTTGATGGCTCAAATAAAGCTGTCCCCTGAAAAGCAGGGTAAAACGTTTCAGGTCAGCTCATTTCACCATACTCAAGTTTATTCCATTTATTTGTGCTGAATTCAAGTTTTAAGGCTGATACATTCTCTCTCACTGTTTTGGTTTTTTTTAGTAAAGTCTTTCAAAGTAACCAGAGGAAGAAAACTCTCTAGAACAAGTCTGTAGTCAAATTTATTCCTCATAATCAGTCAAACTTGTTAATCCAACAGTGACAACTCAAATTCCACCATGAAAGCGATGACTGATTAGCTGGTACAATTTCGAAAAGATGACAAGTCTGCAAACAAATCAAATGTCAGTGTGACAAATTTGAGAACAAACATCAGAAGCTATACATTTGTCCACTTACTTAGAGCAAAGACTTGAGAAAATAAGCTGACGCTACCTATTAGCAAGCAGTTGGCATCTTTTTTTGCTGCTTCTCTTGAGGCCCAGGTCAAACCCTTCAAGAGAAACCGAAATGAAGACAGAAACCAGCTGTGCCTCATCATTGGCAGCCTGGCTGGTCGAGCACGAATGGCTCACGAGCTTAACAAGCTAGTTCATCTAATTAAAAACAAAACTGCTTCCTCCTTCACTTTATCAAGCCGTATGATTGGATTCAGAAACAAAAGTACCTGAGTTCTTCCACTCAAATTGCACCACGCTTTTTTCCACGTGCTGACAAGTCAGCCAAGGACTTGTCTTCATCCCTTTCACTGGCCATACTTTTCCCCCCACATGAGTTACCCAACTCAGAGCCCCAAACTTCACCAAGAGCATTAAAAACACACACACGCACACACATTAATGAGTTACGATACCTGCAACAGGTCTTCGCTGAGTACCTCTGTTTTCTCAGCCCTAAGGGAAGAAAAAAACCAGTCAGACTAATTAGCATGTTCAGGGTCAAAGATTGCCACAATACTTTCAGCAAAACCCGTTCAGTTTCAAGTTCTAATCCCATTATGACCATGAGGACACATACTCCCGCCTTAAACAGATACAATTCCACACCCTTCTCCAACTCCAGTTTACAGGTAAATTTGGAATTGCTTAACACTGACACAGATTTGTTTGGTGTTGACTCATTTGCTGTAATGCTGCTTTAACCTGCCTTTGCTAGATCTGTTCAACAGAGAAAGATAAATTTAGTTCACCCGTGATCTCTTTTCCTTGGCTGCTCACCGTCACTACACGTCTCTGGCTATAGAGGACTTGGAGGAACTCCAGTACTCTGTTTTCCTGCTCAGAGAGTTTCCCCTGCTGCTGTCAGAGCTCCTCACGGACGACACCGACTTCCTTCTGATCCCGCAATCTGTTTACGAACCTGCTGCAAGACCGGTCACGCACAGAATTTCCAACAGCTTCATCAGGCCTCAGCAGCTGAAAGTGCTAAATGCCTCCACTAACGATATTCACTCACTTCAAGTTTGAGGTGGGTTTTGGTGTTTGGGTTTTTTTGGTTTGTTTTTTTTTACTGCATTTGATTTCAATTTCACAGCACATTATCTGCTTGAAATATTCTCGAACCGTAAGGTCTTTAACAGTTAAATACCAGAATACGGTAACGCTTAAAACCTCAACAAGACTAAGACACCTCCATGCTTTGACAGCAACACAAACTGCAAGTGCTGCAGTATTTATATGATTGATAAACCTTTCTCCCACACAAAAAGGAACACTGTGTCTGATGGAAATCATAACCTGGTAAGACAGCAGTTATTTGATTTTTTTTAATTTTTTTTTGTCTTGCAAAACCCACCAGAAATTACATGGACCAACTACAGTACAAGAATACTTCAGTTACAGCAACACATTCAATCTAGTTTTAAACGACAACTACTAAACACATCAGCTAACTGATTTCATAGAAGAGCTACTAAATATTTCTGTACAAACACAGTGCTGCACATGATAATGGTTCTACACACAGTTCTTGAGCAGCCAGAGGTTTCTGTCCTTCAAGAGACTGTGTAAGAGATGAGCCTCCTCTGCCTGGAAAAGCGAATCCGATATCACGCATGCCTTTCAGGAAGAAGCATCTCAGGCTCCTCTGAAATATCAAGTCAGCCTAAGAGACACATCCAAAAAGGCACCAGTTCAAATACCTGTCGGGTAAAACGCCATCCCCACCGAGGCAGCAGAGCAAAGAGGAAGGTGTGCAGCCCCGAGGAGGGAGCAGGCTGAGCTGCCCGTGTTCCCCTGCTCGCTGAACAGCACACCTCGAGGTGTCTTCTGCAAAAACACAGGCTTCTGTCCACAACAGACACAGCTCTTTGCAAATAAAACAGCTGACTGGAAATGATTTCTTTTTAATGTTGAAGAATAGCTGCTCGCAGTTGCAACCGCGCTGAGGTTTTGCAGTTAAAGCAATCAGCATTTAACAAGATTAGCACAGAGGTTTACTAGAGCTCCAGCAGCTGACTCGATCTTTGCAGGTAACTGGGAGAAGCAGCAAGACAGCACGTGGCACCTACAGGGATTAACTGACTGTGGCAAAAGTTACAGGAGAGCAGCCGCCTCCTCCATCCTCACACACCCCCAAGCCTCAGTTCCCTTCGGTTACCTAGAAATTTGTTTAAGAAAGAAAACGCAACTGGTTTCTACATCTAAATTATGCAACCGAAGCTCATGCTGACTCCCCCGTGTATCTCTCTAGTCCTTAAACTGGCTCAGTGCAAGAGAAAGTTAGATGAGACAAAGGCGTCTCGGCAGTTCATTCACCCTGGGTGCTGACACGCTCGCGTATCGACGTGATGTGAAACAGGCACCACGGCATCAGGGAGCCGGCATGCCAGAAGAGAGAACACAGCCTTAACCCAGCCGGCAGCTTTAAGAAATAAAACAGCCACCCCGGGTGGCATAATTCAAAGCAACTTCTAAGGACATTTCGAGTACTTATAACTGGATATATACACAGCATGAAAGCCACGAACTGCTGATAATCGCAATAGCGACTGACAGAGTTCAGAGAATTTGAGGCAATAATCAATTTATTATGAGAATCTGTAAATCCACTCGTAGCTATTGGGAATCACAAAATGTATTTCATAGAAGTTTTCTTTAGAGAAAACAATGTCCCTTCTAATACTATTCCATATTTGGGTTCAATGGAACCTTTCATTACACTACTATAAAGTTACTGGATGCTTTTGAATGGCTTTAGCTACAACATTAATTTAAAACCAAATAGTTGAGTAGAGAATTCCATACAACTTTAGATTCATTAGAGGTTTGATTTCTCCTTCCTGTCCTTTTTCCTCAGAAATTCTATCCACTTGGATGAAAAGATGGCTCAGTAATGTGCTGGCAGAAATCTGTTTCCATTTTAAATATGGTTACCCGCAGCCTATATATCGTTATGTGAAGCGCAAAACAATTTTTGTGTATTTATCTTAAGCTCTCTTTGTGCACCTAACTGGCTCATCAGGACTTTAAGTCACAGCTTGAAAATCCGGATCTCCTCCTGTGAAGTCAGTGATGCTTCCCCCGTCACCGGTGGCAGGACGGCGTCCCCGGGCCAGCATGATTTGGAAAAACCACCAGTGACGATGTCAGGTTCGGAAATGCAAGAGGGAAGACCTCACCCTTCCTGCAGGCCCACATTCCACCTTTAATACACAGGCCAAGAGAGAGCCACTAAATAATACTGGTTTTCAGCAACCACAACCACGAAACAGAAAATGCAACCTTGTAATAGCAGCCCAGCCAATCTCCCCACCGAGCCGGGAACGGCAATGAACCACCGAAGGTACCTCTGTCTCCCTCTGAAGAACAGGTACTACTAGTTTAGAGTTTCCATCTAACTGCAGCTTCACGGGACGCCAATTCCTTCTGACGACGAACTAGAGAATTAGAACAGGATTTCTTTTGCACTGCTACTTGGAGTTGTGTCCTTAGCCCTTATTAGGTCTTATTTGTACCTTATCTACTTGGTAGCAAAAAGCGATGAAGAAATCCTTCTGGAATCAAGAACCAGTTAAGAGTTGCAAGATTTAGTTGCAGAGAATGTTCCCAAGGGTTTTATCACGCCCAGGAGCGCTGGTAGCTGGCCTCCAGCCTGGAGACCCTCCACTGTCAGCTGCCCCCAGAGACATCCCAAACAGGGATTCCGAGGCGCAGACCACAGCGCCTGTGGCTGTTTACATTCCCAGCAGCCAAACTCCACACAGTCCAAACAGTTAATTCTCAGTTGCAGAACGAGGTCCCTCCAAGCCATTACTAATGAGGAAAGCACGCCCTGCTCTGGGAGCCCCTCCCGCCTGCCGGGGGCCCCAAATGCATTGGTTTGTCACCGAGCTGCTCATGCAGGAGCCGTCCCTGTGCTCCAGGACGGCAAAGAAACGGAGACGTGCCTGGCCTGGAGCCTGCGGACACCTTCTACGTGAGACAGGCAAGAGCAGAGCAGGAGCAGCAGCCGGAGGGACGCGGGACCCCCCAGGCAGGGCTCGGCATCACACCCCACTGCGGCAGCAGCGCGGGCTGCTCAGCTGCTGAAATGTAAGATTAGCTGCCAGGTTGGAAACAGGAATGGAGCTGGTCCCTCGGGAAAGGAAGGATTTGGAGAACTGAAGACAAAGGTTTTCTGCTACACTACTCAGGATACCTGTTATGCCAGAGCCTTGACATGAACCGGCTGGTAAAAAGCTTCTCAATCAAAATCCAGCTGCACATTTTAAAAGGCTGCTTTTAAAACCAAAACTAAACTATTATTTGTGGCAGCTATAATCACCTCAACAAATAATGAAGATAAAACTACTGAATTCCCTAAAAACAGCACTTTCCAACTCTTTCACACTCGGTTAGCACAACACTTTGCCCACCATGAGGATCCGAAGCGCAGAGCTGCTGTTGATGGCAGCAGCCGCAAAAGCTGTTCTTCATTTCTTCATCGTCCCTCTCCTGCAGTGCCACAACCCTCGGCTCAGCCGGGGTGTAAGCCAGCTCACGCAGCCAAGCTGATGGAAAATGATCTGACAGAAACACATTTTAAGCAAAGCAGCTCCATAAATCTGCTCTTCACACCAATCGCTTCGCTGACAGAGGTCTGGGCCAGGTAGCAAAGAGAGGTTCGGCTCCGAATGCAGCTCGGCCGGGGGATGTCAAATTCTTCAAAGACAGCTAAAAAACCTGAGCACTGTGAGCTTGTCACTGTAATTTTCAACAAAAATTTTGTTGCCAAATCGACTCTTCAGACGATTTTTCTTTTTGAGACAGCAAATAGCCGACTTCCCATGCAACGTGTCGTGCCACGTAACGGCTGGTGCCATTTGCTATTTGGGGACAGCGCGGCCAGAAGTAATTGCCTTAACTCAGTGCCGGTGAAAAAACAAGAGGCTTGAGAGTGTTTTATAGTATCATTCACTTTATTTCTTTCCTGCTTTCTGGTGAGGCCCTTCAGCCCAGCCCGACACACGGCCTGGAGCAGGGCTCTGCTGCAGCGACTGCCTGGCTGTGAACAAAGCAGGCAGAGCAGCTCCCACCTCCAGGTTTGAAACCTGCCCCCTCACTTTTTCATTTTACAGCTCCTTCGCGCTTCCAGGCCAGAAGTCTCCTCTGTAGGTCTGGAAACAGCAGATGAGAATTCCTGAGATAAAAATGTTTATCTCCCATGGGAAAAGAATTTACGTTTCCATGTATAAAATTAAGAGGCTCTATTAAACTTGCACTGCAGATTTAAAAGAAAATAAAGCTTCATCTAAACAATATTTGAGATCACACTGGCCTCACAGGAGGGTCCTGCTCATCAGTGGGGCATCAGTTCTGACCCAGAGTGTGATCTCCAGAGCAGTGACAGCCACACAACCAGCAGAAATTCACACTCCTGAAAGGCTCACAAGGAAGGAACAAGAGCAAACCTGACATGATGAGCCATAAAATCCTGGACATTCCCAATAGAAGTGACTCAGTTCAAATGTCCATGTGGAAACAGAAACCTTGACTCATGGCTGGAAGGTAGAGCTGGAGGAAGGTGATGCCACGGGAGGGCTTCATGATGAAGCAAGCGCCTGTTCCCCAACTCTGGAAAGATGTTGGTGGAAGCGAGGAGACACCCACCCGAAACATGAAACCAGACTACAGCTAGCCCTCCCTGCTCTTCGGTTTTCCTTAAGCAAAGCACTTGTTTGTTACCACAAGCGACCAGATCAGCTTTGCTGGCGAGTTAACACTGAGAGCACCTTCACCAGGCGCAGGGCTGGCAGCACATCCTGCCTTGCCTTCCACATACAATGGGCAGGATTCGCTGCCAGGAAAAATTAAAGAATCAGCAGCTCTGTTCCAAAACATGGAATCCAGAATTAGATAACAATGTCCCTTCTAAAAGGTTTGGGTTTGTAGCATTCACTAAGACAGACTCCATAGAAAACGTGACTTAAAGGTCTTTCAGGACACCCAGCTTTCTTGTCCCCATTTGAGGTTTTGCTAAATTGCAGTGACTGGATTTGCTTTGAAGCTGGGTGAACCCTATATTTAAAATCAAAGTTTATGGAACCTAATTATTAAACACGTCAAATGACTTTTAAACTAAATGAAAATTTCAACTAGGGGAAAAGATCTCAAACAGCTGCACAAGACCAGATACAAACTCAGAGATGCCTTTTCAATAAAGACACCGGAGAAGCAACTCCTCGGTGCCATTTGCTGGACACTTGAAACAACTGCTGGAGTCAGCATCCAAATCTGAAACAAATTATTGTTTACGGCTGGATCTTCCTTAATGTTTGCTTGGTCTTGACTTCCAGAAATCAAAGCAATGCAGGGAACCTCTTGTTTTCTAGCTGAGAAGAACAGGACAAGGTTTGCCCTGCTCCTTCCTCCTGCCAGGCAGCCAGGCCCACACAACGGCTCCTTACCTGCTCTAGAATTTAAAACACAGGTTGCACCACACACTTCTCACTGCCCATATTCTAGAGATTCTGCATTTCTGCACGCTTTGCAGAAGCTGAGATCTTTAATACATTAAAGGATCTTTCTGTGCAACTGGAAAGCAAAAATCCTACAATTGTGGTTTCAT